GAATTCGATTATAACATATTTAATATTAAAATAATAACTTTTCTTTTTTTTGGAAATAATTTCATACAATGAATTTTTTTTTCTTTCTCATTAATTTATGTTTTATATTTGCTATAATTTTTTTTTTACGTTTTTTATTTATAATTTAATTTTTAGTTATTTGATAAGATTTATTGATTAATTTTCATTTCTAAATGAAACTTTTTTTCATTGAAATTATAGAATTAATATTAATAAAAATTATTTACAATGCAATATGTTGTTTATGTTTACCAATGTTTAATTTATTAAACAAATAAACTATCATTAAATGATAAAATTTATCTGACAATTAATGAAATTTAGAAATTTTCATCTGCCACATTTTTTTTTTTTTTTGTTTACATTTTACACTTTCTAAATAAAATGGCTAAACAGTGAGAGAGTGCTCAAAAGAAAAAAAATAAATAATTTAATAAATAATCTTTTACAGAAATATTAGTTTTTCTTTTTGAATCATAAATTTAATATCAGATAATCCTTTTTTTTAAAAAAAAAAATATTACACAATCTGTTATTATTATTGATCACTGTATCAAATCATTGTACTAAATGTTACAGAAAAAAAAAGAACGATAATTAAGTTTGATTAATTTAAAATTGAATTCATGAAATAACATTCAATGTAAAGATGACCAGTTCAATTAGAGAGAGAGAGAGAGAGAGAGAGGGAGGGAAAGAGAAAGAGAGAAGGAGGTCATTTTATTTGAGTTTTATTAAAAGAACAAATATTTTCTCATGTATGATAAATATAAAAAAGTACTAAGATAGCAGTGATAAGAGCGCTTGTTTATCATTTTTATCATTTATTCGAGAATAATTCCTACAAAATCATTGCAATGATTTCCTATCCAAGAAGAAATCACAATTTCATGGCAATCAAACTGTGCATATTTCGGTTTTGAAAGTAGCGTCAGCTGTTAAAATGATATTTAATCAGCATTGGTGCATTTGGCTCATTTGTTATGCGGGTGGAGAATAAGGGATTGAGATAAGAGTCGGTGGTTAATGATAAAATTTTGCTTTACTAGTGATAAATACTTTTCACATTTCTATTCATTTTCATTTCGTTTAAATTACATTTTTGTTTTTTAACTTTATTAAAATTTTCTTTAATTTTTATACTTTTCTCTGACTTTTCACTGATATACATGTATGAAAAGATAATTGATTATTTTAGAATAGGTAATTAATTATTTTACTACTTCTTTTATCATTTTATCAAATTATCAGTATTAATTTAGCAACTGTAATATATTTTATCATTAAAAATTACATCTATGAAACAAATATTACTGTAAGTAATTACTTATAATTGTTATTGTTTGATTTGAATGAGCATTGATTTCAATTGCTTAGCGTATTATTATATTTATTTCAAATAAATATGCATTTTTGAAAGATTTGAAAATGTAGCTAAAAATTAAAGCTTGAATTAGCTTGAATTGAGTTAATTTAAATTAGCTTGAATTAATTTAAATTTAGCTTGAAATGTGATAGCACTTTAATCATTTAATACAATTTGATTTAGCATATGATAAGCTAATCGATTAAATATAAGCATTTTCATATATGATATACAATGTTCATTATCATAATCTTTTTTTTTTAATTTAAGAACAAACGAGTTGACAGGTTGACAATGTTATTAACAATTCAAAAATATATATTTACTAATGTTTTATCAGCAATATAGAACTTTTGCTATATGATTGAAAATAGGTTAATTTTATAAGCAAAATAAAAGCAAAAGAGCTAATTTTAAAAAAATGTCGAAAATTTAGATTTAAATAATATTTTGTAAAGAAATATGTTACAACTTTCTAAATTTTATCCTAATTCATCGCATCTTATCTTATCATATCTTAGTATCACTTATCAGTTAGCATTTTAATAGTTTATTCCAAGGAAAAAAAAAAGAAAAAGCGAAACAAAAAAGAAAACAAAAAAAAAAAAAAAAAAAAAAAACAATGAACAAAAAATTCTCAAACATTCATTGATTCATTCACTTCAATTCAATTCAATTCAAATCAGTTCATTCATTCATCCATCCATTCACTCATTCATTCATTCATTCAATTCAGTTCAATTCAATTCAATTCAATTCAATTCAATTCATTCATTCATTCATTCATTCATCCATCCATTCACTCATTCATTCATTCAATTCAATTCAGTTCAATTCAATTCAATTCAATTCATTCGTTCATTCATTCGTTCCATTCATTCATTCATTCAATTCAATTCAATTCAGTTCCATTCATTCATTCATTCAATTCAATTCAATTCAATTCAATTCAATTCAGTTCATTCATTCATTCATTTATTCCTCTTTCCTTTCTTTCACCTCAATAAAGCAAAATAACTTTCAATGCATTTAAAAAAGTGAAAGGAAGAAAAAAATGCTTTTTTACATTTTTATAACTTTCATTGTTATCGAACATTCCACACATAAACTTTTTCAATAAAGCATTTAGCTTAGCTTAAATTTCAGTGAAATATATGACAGATTGTGAGTGGGTGGATGGATAGATGGATTGGATAGATGAATGGATGAATGGATGAATGGGTGAATGGATGAATGGGTGAATGGGTGGATGGGTGAATGGGTGAATGGATGAATGGATGAATGGGTGAATGGGTGAATGGATGAATGGGTGAATGGGTGAATGAATGAGTGAGTGAGTGAGTGAGTGGGTGGATGGGTGAATGGGTGAATGGATGAATGGATGAATGGATGAATGGGTGGATGGGTGAATGGGTGACTAAATGAGTGAGTGAGTGGGTGGATGGATAGATGGATTGGATAGATGAATGGGTGAATGGAATGAATGAATGAATGAATGGGTGAATGGGTGAGCCATAGGCGCAAAATGGATGAATAAGTGAGCCATAGGCGCAAAATGGATGAATAAGTGAGCCATAGGCGCAAAATGGATGAATAAGTGAGCCATAGGCGCAAAATGGATGGATTATAGCCAATAATCCTCATTTCGTCCAACTTTTTCAATTTTTTATTTCATTTATTTGCATTAATTTGTGCGATTCTTTTCTTCTCCTTAAGATTAAGCTATACTTAATCTTTTCTTTTTCTTTCTTTCATCAATTCATTGGCTTCTTTTGGCTCATTTATTGTTGGCTCATATTGAATGCATTGAAAAGTAAAAGTGTTGATTGATATTTTTTTTTTTTCCTTTTTTTTTTGTATAAATAGCAAAAAATTTTTTTAATCCAATATGTGATCAAAAAATAATTGGCCAAGAAGAAATTGATCATTTCCATGTGAAAAATATGATAATATTATTGAAATTTTGAGAGAAAGAGAGAGAGAGAGAGACGGAAAGGAGGGAAAGAGAGGGAGAGAGAGAGAGGGAAAAGGAGTAGGAAACTGAGTGATCATTAGGATTTGTTTAAAATTATCAAAATTTTTTTTTAACAAATAAATTGAAAGAAAAAAAAAAGTATGAAAAAAGCAAAGAAAAAAAAGAAAATTGAAAAGATGAGAAATTATTTTAATTGTTTAGAAAATGGAATGCTAATTAATTCATTTCATACTTCAATAAAATATTGAATTAAACTTTTTCTATAATAATAGAAAAAAAAAAAAGCAAAAAGCAAAATAGCTAAAAGTCATTTATTCTTTTAATTAAAAATTTAATCCATAAAATAAGTCTTTGCAATAATATTCGATATTTTTAGAAAAAAAAAAATTCAGTGCAACGAATTTTTGTTTGTTGAATGTGTTCAAAAAAATTTTTTAAAATTTAACAAAAAGAAAAAAAAAATTTTTTTCTTTTTTCTTCTCGTATGAAATATTTTTGTTTTAAACATTACGACAAAGTGAAGCGTTTTTTTTTTTTTTTTCATTTGCAAAATTTATTTTCAGAAAATGGTTTGCGCTACACAAAAATTATAAATAGTAAATAATTTTTGTGAGAAGAAAGAGAAAAAAATTTATTTTCTTCTTTCATTCGAATTCAAATGATAATAAATGATGCGGTGATAACCTCAGCATTTTCACGGATGCGATAAAGTATTTTCATGAAGTAATTATCATTAAGTAATATCAGTAATATGATAAGTAATATCATTAAGTAATGTAAATATCATAAGTAATATCAGTGATATGATAAATAGTATCATTAAGTGATAGCAATAATATGATAAATAATATCATTAAGTAATATAAATGTCATAACTAATATCAATAATATGATAAGTAATATCATTAAGTAATGTAAATATCATAAGTAATATCAGTGATATGATAAATAGTATCATTAAGTGATATCAATAATATGATAAGTAATATCATTAAGTAAATAAATATCATAAGTAATATCAATATGATAAGTAATATCGTAAGTTCATATCGTTATTCTTTATTTCACTCATTTTATTTAATTAATCCAAGAAAAGACGAATTTGAAAACTAAGAAATTTTAATTATTTAATTTTTTTGTTTAAAAAAAAAAAATTCAATCATTCATTATATATGAAGGAAAAGACTGATTTATAGCAATTTTATGCATATGATAGAACTAACTTCTTTAACTTTTATTGATTTTAGTAATTTATCACTAATTTAAATATGACGCATCAATCGATCGATTGCATTGATTGATTGATTGATTAATCGATTGATTGATTGATTGATTGAACTATGCTTTATTGATTTGCATATTAACAATAAAATTTAAAAGGATGAAAAAAGATAGTAATTAGTTATTTCATACTTACAAGTAAGATCGAATTAGAAATGTAAACATAATAATTGTTAGTAATATTATCAATTTAGTTTTTTTTTTTTTTTTTGCTTATTTTCTTGTTGAAAAAATTATAAAGTAATTTGATAAAAGTTAGTCTAAAATTTTATTTTACTTTTTTTCTTTTATTTTTTTAAACTCAAATATTTTTCTTCTCTATCTCTTAGATATAATTATTTTCTAGGAGATTGCATAATGATCAATAAAGATATGTTTGACAATATGCATTACAATGATTCAATCAATTCTGTCACCTGTAATTTTTTTTTTCCTTTTTCAAATTTCAAATTTATTATTTAGTAAATTAAACATTCTTACATATATTAAATTTTCAATTCGATACAATTTTATAATTAAAATTAAAAAGAAAAAAAAAATGTGATAATAAAAATAAAATATTAATTTGCTAATAAAGAAAAATGTTTTCATCAAATTACAAATTATTAATGATAAAATTAAATTATCAACAAAAGCTATTATTTACTGTTTAATCATATCTGCATTGTTATTTTTATACTTTCCTATAATTTTAAATGATAAAAAAAAAATTTTTTTTTTTTCAAAGGATATATTTTAATTGGAAGATTTATTCATTTTTAATTGCTAGAAAAAAAAAAATTATGAATTGAAAAATATTGTTTTTATTTTTATGCAAACAATTAATTGCAGTACATTTGTCACCATCAACTACGACACTGTCAACATCTCACAGATCAAATTCTCCAATTAATGATGGATCATCGTTGATATTTGATGGACCAACAATTACACTACCATCAGGTTTATTCATTTATTTTCATTTAATTACTTCAAATTTTATTTTTAGATTTTATATTTATATAAAATTAATAAAAATGTTAATATTATAGTGATAATATAGTTTTTATCAATTTGTGTTAATTTCATTTAGGTGATAAAACGACGATTATCTGTGAGCCAACAGTTGCTGGTGATACAGACAATAGGCCAACGTTAAAAGTAAACTTTTGATTTTTTTGATTTAATATTATGAAAATTTCTTTCATTTGATAAAATTTTCAATTTTAATTTTTGTTATATTATTGATTCAAACTATTATATCAATAAATTATTTTATTCATTCATTTAATGTTCAAATGGAATATTTCATTTGTTCATAATTAATAATTATGATTTATTTTATGAATCAACCATTTTAATTTTAAATTTCATAGAGATGAAAATTTTAATTATATATCGTAAATAAAGAATAGAATGATTATAAATTTGTCAATTGTTAATCAAAAAATATAGCTATCATCTTTTTATTTTATTATTCATTTAAATGTGTAATAAACAAATATATATTAGTGCATTAGCTAATTAATTAAATTAATCGATCAATTAACAAAGTAATAATGTACAGACATCTGCATGGAATAATATGCAAAAATAATAATAATATTTGTTATTTGTATTGCTAAAATATTTGAACTGACGTCTAATAATAATTTATCTAATAATTTATTTCAAATTATTTATTAATTTATATAATTTTTTTATTAATTTATTTATTTCAAATTATTTATTAATTTTTCTATTTTATTTATTAATTTATTTATTTCAAATTATTTATTAATTTTATCAATTTATCCAATAATTTATAGAAAAGTGTAATAATTTATGTATTTTAACTAAAATAATTTTATTCAAAAATTTCAGTAAACAAAAAAACTATGTAATAATCATTTTGTCATTCATTTTCACTTTAGCAACAGTTATTTATGAATCAATTTTTCCTTTCATCGATGTGATTTTTTCTTTTTTCTTTTTTTTTTTTTTTTTTGTTTATGAAATAATATTTGGAATTAATCGATATGCAAATTAAATATTTATTCAACTAATCAAACTTCAAAAAATTGAATTGTCAGTCATCAGTTATCGATTATTATTATTATTATTATTAGATTTTAAATTTCTAGTCATTGTTTATAATCTTTAAATGTGAATTGCATTTTTATAAAAGCTAAATAATTTATTCAACATTTCATAAATGAATTGTATTGCTGAATAATTAAAATGAAAAAATTAATTTCCAATTTTATCTGAAATCATTTACATAATATACTTTTTTTTTAATAATTTAATTTCAGGTTTTCATTTTCAACAGGACTGTATATAATTAATTCATTATTATTTCATTTTGTTTACAGCGTTTTGTAATTATTATATGAGAAATAAATGATTCCATCATATCATTTATATTGACGTAATTTTTTCTTACGTCTTTCCTACGTCTTTTCTCACGTCTCACGTCTTAATTCATTCTTGTTTACATCGATTTCATTAGATTTAACAATAAATTAATCAAAAGTAAATTACTTTCTATATTATAAAGTAAAATACCATTACTTCTATCCTAATTTTTCCATTCTACAGGTTGTCATTTTAATATAATATATAATAAACTATAATGATTGTATCGAAGAGAAAGAAAAAATATTACAGTTTGCGCCAGTAATTTGTGAGCAAGGACCAAGTGCGCCATCATCACCAACAAGTCCAGGAGGTTCTCGCTTACGTCGTCCTCGTCCATTAAATGCAGATGCTATGGAACGAATAAGCGTTGTAAAATTATTAATTCATTAGATTTTTTTAATTTGAAATGATTTAATTTTGTTATTATAAAATTTTAATTAAATTTTTTATTTTACTTTTTAGAAAATAATTATTCAATCATTTTTATTCTATTATTTAAATCTGAGAAAAATTAGATAAAATGATAAAAATTTGAGCAAAATAAATTGACAAAGTGTCATCAAAATATACTATATATAATTAAATGAATAACAAAATTCTATCAAAATGTTAATCAATTTTAAACTGATAAAAGTACTGATAAGGAATAATCATTTTGTACACAGTTAACGACGAATTATTTGGCAACAATGAATTTGAATAAATTATCACCACTTAGTCCATATGCTACAAGTGATTTGGGGTCAAGTCCTCGAAGTTCGATTAGTCTGGCACCAAGCAGCCTAAGTCCATGTTGGACTAATTTCAGGGATAGTAAAAAGTCAAGGTTAGTTCATTACTTTTTGTTTTTGTTTTTTGCAAATTATTTAATATGTTATAATGATGGTAGTAAAAAGTTAGACATAAAATATTACATTAGGTAAGTAATTATAAGTATGTTTCATTAAGACTTTTTGTGATTCTTCATGTTGTAACCTTTGACCCGACCATAATATAAGAATGGTCATACTTACAATATATTGCATGTCACATCTATAGGTCTTATATACTGATAACATGGTGTGATATGATGTGATATGAGTGAAGTTAAGGAATTTATTTCAAGATAAAATAGATCAAATAATATCTGATATATCCTATTAAATACTTTTTTCATTTATTCATCAAATACTGTATAATAATTAATATATCTTGAATTAATATAATAAAAAATACTATGCATAATAATTATTTAATAAGTATACAAAACAATTGACTATTTCACGTACGTACGTGTCCGTCTGCAAAAAAAAGTGATAATGGATATTTGTAGAAATGAAAATTTTTTGAAAATAAAATAATTTAATCAAAATGAATTTCAGCCTTGAAGGTGATGGTGACTCGGATATTTGCTCCAAAGATCTTCTTTCACCTTGTATGTACTCTCCAGCACCGTTCAGTCCATTTAGTGATTGCACCGAGCCACCGGAAACACCGTTATCTGCTTGTGGTACAGGTGCATCACCTGCTTTGTCACCTTTACTCTCGATGCAATCGTTGCACTTCAAGTAATTCATTCATAAGGTTTTTGTATTTCAATTTTAGTTAATGATCTTCAAAAAAAAAAAAAAAAAAAAAGAAAAAAAAAGTAAAATATTCCTTTCATTTCTTTTTTTTTTTTTAAACTTTTATTTTAAATATATTTGTTTAACATTTATTACGTAATTTTTCTAAACAATAAATCTTTTAGCTTTGACACAATTCGAAGTTCTAGTTCACTGTCAGGTCGTGTTGATGTTAATCATCATCATCTTCTGGTACCTGAATCAAACCTGGATTTTCAATCAAGGTAAATTCTTTCTTTTTCTTTTTAATCTCATATGCAAATATCAAAATGGGAGTAAAAACTATTAAATTATTACCTGTATGAGAACAATTTTCAGGGAAAGAAGTCGTTCAGATGGTGAGGTGACATCAAATGGAAATAATGAAAAGATGGACACTTCAGTGGGACAATCTACCGTATCGGTAATTAGTAACATTTGTTGAAAAATTCATAAACAATTAAGAAATAAACAATTCTTTAAAAAATAACTCATAATTGAACCATTTAATTCATAACTTTTGTAGAAATTGTCTAAAAAAAAAAATTTTTTTTCTTTTTGAATTTAATCATTTAATTCATAATTTTTTAAAAAATTATCACAATAAAAAGAAAGTTTATTTCTTTCTTTCTTTTTCTTTTTTTTTTTTTAGATTCCAACAACATCCCATCGTTTATCATCAACATCAGGTCAATACAAGAAACGACTGTTACAAAAATATGAAAAGGAACAGGAAGATAAAAAGGTTCAAAAACGACAGTCAAATCAGTATGCTTCTTTCATCAATAATACACTTTCTTGTCCAACTAATGTACAAACAACAGTTAGTCTTATAGAGGTTTGTAAAATATTATTTATTTATTTATTTTTTAAAAAAAAAAAAACAAAATTAAAAATGATGAGAAGCAACAAAAGAGCAAAAGCATTCTTCTGATTATTACTATTATTTTATTTATTTATTTTTTTTGTTTGCATTATTTAGAATAATTTATGGTTTAATTTCATATTAATTATCAATTCATTTCAATTTGAAAATTATTTTATAAATTTATAGAAAGAAGAATATTGGAATATAAACTTTTTTTTTTTTTAGAAATGACAAATGTTTGTTGACATTTTTGTTTTGTTTTGTTTTGTTTTTTTTGTGTTAGAATAAAATATTATAATATTTTGATAAAATTTAGGAAACAAAAGAATTAGAAAAAAAGAATGCTATATGGTTGTTAAATAATGAAAAGTCAATCGATGATAGCTCATCAAAATCCATTGAATGTGAACCAAAACAGGTAAATTTACCTATTTATCAAAATAATATTATCAATTTTTTATCCATTCATACATTATAAAATTTTAATAAAATATGAAAAAATTCTAGAGAAAAAAAACGAATGTGAAATTGAAAGTTAAAAAGTATTAATGTAGTTTTTACTTATATCATATTTGTACATTCTTATTTTATAATAATATTTTAATTATATAAATTTGTTTCATTCAATATTTAAAAGTTTAATTGCATAATTTATACCTTTAAAAGTAAATTAATTTTAAAAAATACATACAAATAAAAGATAATACAATGAAATAAATTTTTAATATTTATTAAAAATTGATTTATTAAGAAAAAAAAAAAGATTAAAAATGAATTTTATTGATAATTACAGCCATTACTATCAGCAACTGAGCCATTTGCAAGTCAACAACAATTCAATGTTTGGATGCAACATCAACTTCTTACCTGGCGTAATCACTGGTATCAGAATGCAAATGCCTTATCATCAATTCGTAGCCCTGCAATAATTGGTGTAAGTTAATTTTAATTATCTAACTGATAATTTTATTTTAATTTATTTTCCATTATCATTTGATTATTTAATACATAAATTAATCATTTTTTTTAATATTTCATTAATTTTATAGAAAGAATTTATTGTCCATTATCATAATTCCATAAATTGATTAGCTATTGATAATAACTGAATGATTAATTTTAATAATTTGAAGTTTATTTTTTTTTTTTTTTTTTTGTTCAGATGGGTGGTGCATGTCTATTAACAGAGCCACGTGATCATATGTCACGTGGGATGACACGAAGTACTAATTCACCTGAAATGGAAAGTAATTTTGGACCAATTCGAGTTTGTTATTCTTTCTTGAAAAAGTTTAAAAAGAAAGACTATTCTAATTATCATAACAATTAGTATATTTGATGATCATAAAGAAATTATAAAGAAAATTATAACTTTTTCATATTGAACAAATTATTTCAAAAAAAAAAAAAAAGATTTTTAGTTTTTTTTTTTTGCTTTTTACAGGTTATTATTTGATGATCAAATTCTAGGATAAATGATTTCAGTCTGGGACATTCTGGCGAAGAAGTCGTTCAGAATCAGATGTCACTTTCGGAAATTATGTATGTCAACATTGTGGACAAGTATGTATTTTCTCTCTCTCTCTCTCTCTTTCCCTCTCTCTCTTTGTCAAAATAATACTTCAATTATGATTGCAATACCGTTGTCATTTACAAAAATATTACTTGTATACCATCATTACTGCATTTAAAAAGTTCGTAGTCTCAGGCCTGGTTCATCAACTGGATGAGAACTAGACTAGAACTAGGCTCCTAGGCTAATATTGCCAATTTGTCAGTTACCTTAATTGATGCATATACTCGCTAGCAAGTTTATCTTGAATAATTTTTAAAATATTAACTTAAAAACATTATAATTTATAAAATGATTGCTTAAAAAATTTGTCTTTTCGAAAATTTTCTTTTATTTTTCTAGTCTATTAGATTATATTTATGTATGGTTATTGAGAGGAAAAAAAGATTCATTATTAAATTATTCGTCGAAAGAGCCGAAATGTCAGTAAGTACTTTAAGGCATTTGGACTGCATGATAGACTTGCAAAGCATATTGCTTCACGTCATCGTGATCGTTCGGCTTCAGTTGCTGGAAAAGATGGCTTATCAAAAGCTCATAAATGTACGATGTGTAACAAATCGTTTGGTAGAAGTGACATGCTAACTAGGTATTTAATTTTTTTAAATGTCAAACAAAAAGAATTGAGATGACAGAGAATGATGTCACTGTGTTCATTGCATGATTAATTAATGAATTTAATTACTAATTAAATTACATTTTAATAATTTCCAAAGATAATTAATATTTGTAAATTATTACTTCTATTTTTTCAGACATATGCGATTACATACTGGCATTAAACCTTATGGATGTCAGGTATGTGGTCAGGTATTTTCGAGAAGTGACCATTTGAGTACACATCAAAGGACTCACACTGGAGAAAAGCCATATCAATGTCCTCAATGTAACTATGCTGCCGTAAGTATATGTGATTCTCGAATAGCGATTACAGTTAATGAATTTTTTGACTCTCGAATAGCGATTACAGTTAATGAATTTTTTGACTCTCGAATAGCGATTACAGTTAATGAATTTTTTGATATATTTGCTAAATGCTCAATAAAAATGTTAAATTCAAGAAAGTTAGAAAAATTTGGCTTATTTAGCTTAATGATCAAAGAAAATATTAATACTAAAAAATAAGTAAAATATCATTTTTCTTTTTTTTTTTTAGAGTCGACGTGATATGATAACGCGTCATATGCGAACACATATTCGTCCACCGGGATCTCCCGAATTTAATCCTTTAGCAATAAGCCAATTATCACTGAGTCATTCAAGCAGTCAATTGCATCAATCAGAAACGATAGTTGGTGACACTTTAAGTCTAACAGCGCCATGTTTCTCTTCCACTAATCTATCACCAATTTCTCAGCAATTTACAAAAAATCCACTAATGATGTGTACTGCAAATGCAGTTGCTACTGCTACTGCAGTTGCAGTAACTGCCATTGCTGATGGTAAGTTACCATTAAATTGAAGTTTTAACATAGAAAATAACAATGATAAAATGAGTAAAATAATAAATTTAATCTTTCGTTGAATAAATCAACGATATATTTCTTTCATTTCTAACTGATACTTTGATGATTTATAATAAAAATGAAATTATTTCAAGTTTTATTCTAGATTGTTTGCCTAACACTATGGGAACACTTCCATTATTGCAAAAATTACCGATTGCAGCAACTGTGCCAAATTTAATTGGATCAAACTTACGACGTAGTGCATTTACGGCACACGGTAAACTTGCGGCATCGCTTTCATCAATAACAAATTCATCATCTAGCACTAGCAGCAGTTCATTCATTTTACCTAGCAGTAATTCTCTACAATCCTCTCATTCGTCACAAACAAGTCCAACTTTATGTCGACAAGCAAGTATTGGTGGCTTTTCATCCACCTGCTCAACCTGATTGAATTGTTAAATAAAACTATGACATTGTACTAAGTAATCTACTTAATATCAAATATTTAAATTGATGAAAAGTTCATTCTTCAGAAAATTTCTTCAGAAATTTTTTCCAACATTTAAATTTCAAAAAATATTTGAATGAAATTATTTTCTCATTGCTTATTGAAAAGTGATCCTTTCTATGAAATACCACAACAATTAATAGAATATAGAATATCCTTTTTCTTCTTCTTCTCCTTTTCATCTTATCTGTTGCATTTTTTAAAACCAATTTTATGTTTTTTTTTCATGCAATCATTAATTTATGTCACATTTCTTTTTATTTTTAGCAGTTAATGCTAAAAAGAATGGATAAAGAATTGGCGCAAATGTGATGAAACAAAACAGTTCAATTAAAAAGTAAACAAAATACTGAAAATATATTAAAATAAAATGAGTATTACGGAAATTCTTTGATGATTTTTTTTTTATTATAAAAGATTAAAATGGAAAAATTATTAAAATTTTTCAAAATTTTTGTTAATTCTAAATCAGAATTTTATTTTTGTCAGAATAATATGGCTTTTAAAGTTATGAATATGCAAATTATAGCATAATTTGAGGATCAATTAGATTTGTCATATTGTTTATCTCAATTGTTTTTTGTCTTTTATGTATTCTTTTTCTCCTTATTTAGATATCAGGTTTTTATTTTTTTATTTGTTAAAATTTCAATATTTCTAATTAGCATTTTTTCTTTTAATGATATAAAAGTTTATTTTATCCTTGAAAAATGATAATTTCATATTCATTCTTTGAGAAACACAAACAAAAAGTGTATTTAAAATAGAAAATAACAAAACAGGAAGCAATTTTGGCTACTAAAATTTTTAATTAATGCAGTTTGCTTTTTTCATCATTTTGAAAATGAGCTATCAAATGTAAAATTATAATTTATTCTATATTTAAAAATCTTTTCTTTTTTTCTATATTTAAAAATAACAAACTCTCAAGTCTATGAATAAGTCGAATTTAAGGAATTTTTTAAAGTTTCTTTTTAACAGTGTCACTAGTAATTTGCATTTAATTTTTCAACTAAAATTTTTAACCCCAATTTATTAATCATTCCAATTAATGTTTTAATCAATTTAATTACTATACAATTTGAGAAGTATCAATATCACAATGCAATGTACGACCAAATAAACTACCAATAAGTAAAGAATTTTGATGAAATAAAACAGCAGATGAACCACATATTGTTGCACCATCATTTGCATACGGTTCTGTTATCACCCAACTCTTATCATTATCCTAAAATAGAACATATAATTAAATTTAATTAAAATAAATTAATTAACAATTGAAATAGAAGAAGGATGGAATTTACCTGTAATCGTATTCGAAGTATTTGAGATGGTGAACGTTCATCCGTATTTATTGGATTTTGCATATGTTTATGAGCTTTATAAAGTATCGGATGAAGTGCTACCCAAATATTTCCATTTTTAGTTTCAATAAATATTTTATTTGGTGATGAAAGAAGTGAAATTTCAGTTGCAAATACCACTGACATATCTTTTCGTAAATGATAAATTCGTATAAACTAAATTAAAAATATTATTTTAAAAAAAAAAAAAAGAAGGAAAGAAAAAAGTTTAATTTTTTTTTTTTTAAAATTATTAATTTATCATTTAACATATAATTTTTTATTAATTCTTTTAATGTATAAAATATTTATTCATTTATTAATAATATCACTTTTTTTTTTTTAATTTTATTAAAAAAAAAAAAAAATTTATCAACTCACTTCGTTAACTGTACTAGCAACATATAATCGATTTTGTTGCTTATTTATAGCAATTCCATTTGGTGTTGGAAAATATCTATTAAATAATATTTTAATAAAAATATATTACTAAAAAAGAAATTTATTTCACTTTTTGATTTTATAAATAAAAATTAAATTTTAACGAAAAATTTATAATTTAAAATGGTATGAATTTATTATTTTACATTTCTATATTAGTATTAAAAAAAAAAAAAAAAAAAAATGAATATTATCTGAAATGATTGTGTTTTATAAAAATATTAAAAAAAAATTTGAAACAAACAAAAAAAAAAAGAAACTTTTCGAGATAATTTCCTTGTCGTCCATCATAGTAAACAATTGAACCAAATGATGATTGCATAGCAAATTCAATAATTTGCATCCAATATTTTTGATAATAAGCATAATTGGTGGTGATAAATCGATCAGCGCCAACAACTGCTATATCAGCTAAGCTAAATTTAAAAATTTAAAATTAAATAATTAAGAGAGAGAGAGAGAGAGAGAGAGAAATGATATTTTATTGAAATAAATTTATTTTTTTTTATCAATAAAATTTTGTTATATTTAAATTTTCTTTTTTCTCCTTCTTTTTTTTTTTCCTCAAACAAAAAAAGTGTAATTTTTATAATAAATGGAATTGAAATTGAATATATGCATATATTAGCTTAAAAAATAATTATAAATTATTAAATTAATACATAGCAAAATTTTCATGTAAAAATAAAAGTAAAATTATGAAAAAGAAGGAAAACTTTTGAAATATGACTTACTTTCGAAATTTATCATTACTTATTGTTTTTTGATAAGTAAGAAGTAAACGTTTATGATCAAATTGAAAAACTTCCACAGTATCAGTTGTATTCTGATAAGAATTAGTGATATAAACAGTTATTCGACCTCGACTAATATATGTATCAATTCCATATGGAATAAAATATTGCTATAAATATTTTTATATTAATTTATTTTTTTTTTTTTTTTATAATTCAAATGTAATTTTATTATTAAACTAATTTTAAAATTGCTTTGATAAATCAAACAAAACCAGAGAAAAAAGTCCAAAAAAAAAAAAAAAAAAACCTTAAAATTTCATTCAAATAAATTCTGAAAATTTTTTGACAAAAATTTTAATTATATCAATAAGTTTGAATAATATTTAAGATGGAAAATAATTGAAGTATCCAAAATTTACACTCATTTTTTCCATCAATTTTATCGATGAAATTAATTTTACTAATTAGAAAATCTGAAATTTTCATTGTATTCTGAAATTATTTGAAAATTATTCAACAAAATTTTATAAAATTTTTTAAAATTATTCAATAATAATAAAAATTTCAGATTTTTTTTTTTTTAACAAAAATTAATTCTTGGCGAAAAAAAAGAAAAAAAAAAACGATGCATTTATTGATTAAAAAAAAATTAATTTTTAATATTACCAAATTAAATCCTTTAATTTTCAATTTCTTAGCTTCATAATTTCTATTTTCCGTAAAATTATAAACGAATATTGCACCAGTAATATTACTAACTCCTCGACTTTTTGCATATCCGCTTGTTATCAATGCAATATTCAATTCCGGAATGAGTACCATTCCGGCTGAACCATTTGCTACAATTTATTTAAACAATATTACAAATTATTTACTAAATAATTAATATAAGAATTGACAATTAAAATCTCTTTCTCTCTCTCTCTCTCTCTCTCCCTTTCTTCTCTTCTTTCTCTCAGAGACTTCACTTTAAAAAGTATAAAATAAAAGTTTCTTTTTCAGAAAAAAAAAAAAAAAAAGGAGTAATAAATTAAAAATTAATACCAAATATTCCGGTAGATGTACGAATAAATCGACATGAGCCAGGTGTATGATTGTAAACACGTTTGTTTATATCCAATAATAAACTAAAGTTAATCAAATTAATTTAAAATAACAAATTAAAAAAAAAAAAAAAAGCATTTAAATTTACATTTCTAATTATGCTAATACTATTATTGCTAATATAATTGAATTATTTATTGTGATAAAATTTTAAATTTAAAAAAATAATAAAAATTATTAAAACATACATAAATCGAATTAGTAAACTGCAACCTAATCCAATCAATAATAATGCTATTATTGAATTAGTCATTACAAATGATAATTTTTCATTCTAAATGATAATAACAAATTAATAATAAAATATTTTTTATTTTTCATTGTTAAAATTTTGCAATCAATTTCATATCAATTACTTTATTTAATTTATCAATTTATCACTTTTTTTTTTTTAATCATTTAACACTTTTACATTCTAATATTTGCATATTTAATGAGGAAAACTACAAATTTCTTTTTTTTTTCTAAAAAAAAAATCATATTTCAATTAAAAGAAAAAAAAATTTTAATTTCTGATAAAAATTTAACAAAAAAAAAAAAGAAAAAAGAAAGAGAGGGAGAGAGAGGGAGAGAGAGAGAGAGCAAACATTATGAATTGATAAAAAAGAAAAATGAATAAATAGAAAGCAATGATCAGAGCCAAATTTCACAAATATTAAATTTATTCCAGAAGGAATAAGTCTACAAGCTATCGTTCAATTTTCAATTTCATTGCTATGAATGAACAGAGAGAGATACATATAACTTTACATTTTAAAATCACCTTCTCTCTCTCTCTCTCTCTCTTTCTCTCTCCCTCTCTTTCCCTCTCTCTCTCTCTCTGAAGTCAAAACAGATCGATTTTGCACAGTTAGTCTGAGCAATACTTTTTATCCAAAGCATATCATCATCACCATCATTCATCATTCATTCATCGTTCCTTATATTATCCTCATTTCCGGTTAGAAAAATTTCCGGATGAATTTTCCTGATGAGTATGCATTAGATTACAATTGAATTGATATTATCAATTAATATGATAATTTCTTACTATCATTTTCACATAATATTGCAAATTATCATTATTTTCTAAATTAATTCATTCTTAATTAATTTGCATTAAATTTAACAGTGATAACACGAATGATAAATAAATTTTGAAAAAAAAGAAAAAATTGGGATAATATTTGAGAGAATGATAATATGTGACAAATAGATGTGACAATTTTTTTTTTTTGTGATAATGACAAAATAATGTGTAATTAATATATGTACAAAAATTTCAACTTCATTTTAATTTATAATTATTGAAACTATATTTAATTTATAATAATTGAAACTATACGATGTTAACAAAATAATTTAAAAATAAAATTTTCTAATTTTATCAAAAATTTTCGCTCAATTAATTTAACAAATTTATTTAATTTCATTAATGGTAATAATTTTTTATTTTTATTTTTCTTACTTTTTTTCTTAGCATAATTTATTGTATTAAATATATTTAAATACTATTATAATACAAATATTTTATGTAAGTAACCAAAAAAAGAAAACAAACAAACAAACAAACAAACAAACAAACGAACAAAACAAAAATCCAATTAATTTACACATTAATATGTTTACTAAATTCATTCAATAAATTTATCACTGTTTTTTTTCCTTTTTTAAATTTTCATTTAATTAATTAATTAATTAATCATCATCTTCACCAAACCACATATATTTGTCGAGAATGCACACACTACCATTGCCTCTTGTCAACATCAATGATGATCCTAAAAATTTATTAAAATTTTTATTAGAATATTTGAATTAAAAATTGAATTCATTTTCATTTATATTTTTATTTGCTTATTTATTTATAAATTAATTGTTTTATCTTCTATTAGAACGAAAATTAATAATAATTTCAAATCTTATTGTTTCTTTTTTTGTGATAAATTTTTTAATTTCGAAATTAATCACTTTAAAATTCAATTTTCACACTTTATCCTTTGTACTTTTACTTGTTTACTTGTTTACTTACTTACTTATTTATTAATCACAAATTACAAAATATAAATTAACAAAAATTATTAAACCACAAAATACACATACAAACCTTTGAATGCTACTTTAAAAACATTATTGCATTTTCTCAACAATCGTCCCACAGCTTGATCAATTCGATTTTGTGAAATTCCCGATAGCTTCAATTTTACACTTCTCATTGTCTCACTAAAAATATCATTGAAAAATTAATTTCAATTAGTTATTAAAATTTATTAAAAAAAGATTTGTGCTAGTTTTTTGCTTTCAAATATAAAAAAAAACAAAAACAAAAAAGAAATAATTGAATAAAAATAAATTAATCGATTAAATTCTATTTATTTTATAATTTACTAATTTATAATATATTATTTATGCGCTAATATATTCTTTTTTTTTTTTTGCTTCTCATAAATATTAACATATTATTATTATTAACTCATTTTTATGAAAAAGAATTATTATTAATTTATGAAAAAAGAAATTAATTAATTTTATGAATTAATTTTTTTATGAAAAAAAAAAGAATTTATTAATTTATTATTAATTATTATTAATTTATGAAAAAAGAAGAAAAAAAATTTGAACTATGCATTAACCAGGCTATTTCAAGCCAATAACTCATAATTTTGGCTGCGTGCGTGACGTTATTCCCGTGCGTGACAATATGAATAATTCGTAATGCGCCATCGTATGGCATTTCTTTTAATACGTCAATGACGCATTCACGTTCGATCAAACTGTCCAGATCAAATGATCCTGTACACTGCAATAGGTTGTCGTTATCATTTCAAATTTTAACAAAATCATTTTGTTCATTTCAAATTTTCACAAAATCATTTTGTTCATTTCAAATTTTCACAAAATCATTTTGATCATTTCGAATTCAACAAGTCGTTTTGATCATTTAAAATTCTAACAGATCGTTTAAAATTTAACAATTCATTTTGATCATTTAAAATTCAACAAGTCATTTTTGATTATATAAAATTTAACAGATCATTTGAAATGTAACAAATCACTTTGATCATTTAAAATTTAACAGATCATTTTGATCGTTTGAAATTCAACAAGTCATTTTGATTATTTGAAATTCAACATGTGATTATGATCATTTAATTTGAACAAATTATTTTAATCATTTTGCTCATCTAAAATTTAACAAATTATTTAAATTTTTTTTTTAACGTATTTTACTAAAAATTCCATCATACAATAATAAATTTGTTAAGAACAGAAAAAAAAAAGTATCAATTATTGAAATGAATAAGGTACTATCATACCTGTATCAGAAGTGTTTCAAGTCTTCTCAATACCTTATCAATACCATTTTGTAAATAAGAGTGAAAATTTATAGAAGGACAAACAATTGCTAAATTTCGAATTGGTGTATTAATTAATACTTTTGAAAGAATGGATGAAGAAAGATATTCAATACCGCCAAGTTCAAGTGTTCTGAAAATAATTTTTCTTTTTTCATAATTCAAATAATTATAATAATATTTTGAAAAAAAAATTTTGCTAGAAAATAAAAGATTACATTGAATGAAAAATATTATACCAAATAAAAAATGATAAATAAATTTAAAATATTTTTTATGATTTTTAGATATTAATTAATTTTTACAAATACATTCAATCATAATTATTCCTAAGATTTCATTTCATTTCATTTCTAATTTATTTCTTCTTCATTTCCAATTTGTAATTAATAATTATTAATGATTAAAATACTATAAGATACATTAAATTCTTTCCACTTAAAGCTTCCAGAAGATGCATATGAGAAAAGCTATCCAAATGACATGTTTGATATTGAAATTGTCGCAATTGTTGACACTTCCTAATAGCATCCCAAAATTCCTCACAATACAAACCAAAATCCATGCAAATATGACGAAAGCATAATTCACGAAGTGATGTTGAAAAATGATTTACAATTTTTGATATCTAAAATTTGTTTACATTTTAAAAATAATAAGAAACGAAAGAAAACAAAACAGAAAAAAATTAATTAAAAAATTTAATTAATTAAACTTTTTTTTTAAAAAGTTAAAAATTTTTAATGATTTTACGAACCACTTCACAATCATCATTATCACTACCAACAATTGTCATCTTATCCATTTTTAATTGTCGCCATCGTGAATTCTCGATCAAATCTGTTCGTGAAATTTCTTTCAAAAGTGCATCACATAATTCACCATTAATTGGTGTTTCTAACCAAAGATGCTCGATATAGTCTACACGTTTTGCTAGAATTTAGATTTTTCAATTTAAAATTTATTTTTAATAGCAATGAATTGGTTTAATTCAAAATGAGAAATATTATAAATTCTTTTTTCCCCTCTCTCTCTCTCTCTCTTTTAAATAGACTAAATCTTCTAGGCCAATTAGTAAATATTCAAAAAATCAATTTTATAGTTTCAATTTTTTTTTTTCCTAAAAAAGATGTAATATATTTTTTTTTTTTTAGCTTTTCTATTCGTACTTTTAATCATTAATTTTAGCCAATCAAAAAAAAATTTAAATATTCAAAAAATCTATTTTATAGTTTCAATTTTTTTTTCTTAAATATTTTTTTTTTTTAATCATTAATTTTAGCCAATTGAAAAAAGAAAAAATTTATACCAATTCGTTGTATAAGTAATTCAGCTTGCCAATCTTTAATAATTATTACATCATTCGTAACCATTTCCGGTGTGAAACAATATTCCGGTACTAAGAGCTGTATGATAAGATCAGAATGATCAGTCCAAATTTCGATATTATCCAGCGATACGCTTTGTAATTTGATTGGTGGTAAACTTATCAAACTTTGATGAAATATTTCTTCCGTTAAACGACATACCTGTAAAATTATACAATTAATATTTTTTTTTTTTTGCACAAAAGAATGAATTTCTCTTTTTTTTTTTTTAATTTTTGATAAAAGCTATTATCATATCTTTTTGCATCATTCAAATATGATAAGATTAGGTATAAACATAATAATTTTGATAATAAAAAACTAAAATAACGATTACAACAGATCAAAAGATCAATTATTGTTCAGTTATATTTAATTTTGAAATTAATTGACGATTGATAATTAATTAGTTATTGACTAACTAATTCTAAAAGTTGAATAATTTTTTTTTTTTTTTTTTTTTTTTTTAAATTTAACTATCATGATTAGCAATTATGTTTATTTTTGAATAGTACTAAAATTTTGCTTATTTCAAAACAGAAAAACAAGAAGAGAAAATTTAAATATTTTTTAAAATAATTTGTAGTAAAATTAAGTTAATAGAAAATTTAACTTACTCGTCGAAGACGTATACGATCATAAATATCAAGATAAGGAAAAACTTGCAATAGCACCGGAGCTAATAATCGATGCACAGAGTCTGAACTTTTATCAATTTCTAAATTTGTTTTTTCACTATCATCAATGGATTTAACATTTAATGCTAATTCCATATTGCAAGATTTATTTCTGATTATTCCTGATAATAATCGTTTTCGAAAGATACGTTTTGCTTGAATCCAAATTGAACGTCGTTGATAATTATTTCGTTTTAATTTATCAGATAATTTTTTGCATGTTGAAGATGTTGCAACTTGTTCAATCATTGATAACGATGAATGTGATAAAGATATTTCCATTAAAATTATCTGTAATTTAAAATATTTATAATGAACTGTTAATTAATGATCATTTAGTACCATTATTTTATTTATTTTTTCTGTTGTAAAATGGAAAAATGATTATTTTAAAAAATAATTTTTAATTAATTTAAATAAAACAATTCTTTCATGTTCAGTTGAAAATTCTAAATTTAATTTAATTATTCATTAGGTATTGTATTAGTCATTCTAATAAAAGTTTTTTTTTGCTTATAAATGATAGCAAAATGCTTTCAATTTATTTCTTCACGCACACACTATAAAATTACTACAAAAATAGCACAGTGATCATTCTAGGAAATTTCGAAGTTTATAATTTTCCAATAAGAGTAAGTTAAAAAATTCGTTGACTTTACTTTTATGTATTGAGATAAGTAATATTACGAGTAAGTTAAAAAATTCGTTGACTTTACTTTTATGTATTGAGATAAGTAATATTACGAGTAAGTTAAAAAATTCGTTGACTTTACTTTTATGTATTGAGATAAGTAATATTACGAGTAAGTTAAAAAATTCGTTGACTTTACTTTTATGTATTGAGTTAAGTAATATTACTTACTTATTAGTTTTAAGATTAATAAAAAGTGCAAATTAGGGATGTTAAAATAGAATACTAATTGAATTTTTCATTTAGATATGAGATTACATTTTCCGCTGGTATTCAAATAAAACAAAATACATATTTATTAGGTAATTAGTTTTTTATCAATGTCAGAAAAAAAAAAACAACAACAACGATTGAAACAACAATGGGAAATTCTTTTTTTTTAATATGTTCAAATAAGATATTAATGGGAAAATTATAAATGTTACACTTTTTTTTTTCTATGCTATATAAAGTAGAAAAGAAACTTTTCTTTTTGTTTGATATTTATTAAAAAAAAAAAAAAAAATAAATAAATAAACAATAATCGTAAATATCATAAATACAATGATGAAATTGTAAACCTACATCAAAATAAGTTATTATTAAGACACAAAATAAAGCATCAAGAAAAAAATATTATCAGTATTTAAACAAAAATTAAAAAGGATTAAAAGTTTTGAGTTAAAAAAAAAAGCGAATAAACTCGTTCATTTGACAAAATTAGATTAAAAAATAAAACAGAGTCAAAGTTCTAAATTTAAAAAAAAAAAAGGAAAAAACTCATTAATTTGAAAAGAGTTCAAAAATAAAAAAAAATCTAATTGAAATTAAAAATTGAAAAGAAGACAAGAGCTCATCATTAAAAAAAAACGCATTGATTTGACAAGATTAAATTAAAAAATGAAACAAAGTTAAACTCATTGGTTGAAGTTAAAAGTTGAAATTGAAAGTTGAACAATTCATTAAATCATCATTTAAAAAAAAAAAAAAAACATAACTAATTAAAGAAAACACATTAATTTGACAAAATTAAATTAAAAAAATGAAATAAAATTAAAACAAGCTTATTAATTTGATAATTAATTAATTTAACAAAGAAATGATAGGAATGTAAGGTAAGAATGATTGTTATAGCTGAAAGAAGAAAGGTAATAAATAGTAATAACTTAAGAAAAGAAAAGAGAAGGAGGTGTCACACATATTTTTTTGACTAATCTTTTACTTTAGATATGCGATCGCAATTTTTCCTTTTTGCTCTGATTGGCGAATTTTCTTTTTTTTTTTTTTTTTTTTTTTTTTTTTGCTATCATATTTTGAGGTATTGTTGTGATACTGTAAGTGTGAATGTGTAATTTGCATTAATCTATTTTATTTTATTAATAAAATGAAAAAATTTATGCACAAAAAAAAAAAAAAGAAAAAAAGAAGAGAAAAAAGATTGGAAAAGTGAGAAAATTTAATGATTTGTAATTAGCATAAATTCTCTCTCAAAATTGGAAAGATGAAATTAATGTATTTGTGTATTTATTGATGAAAATATTTAATTTATTTTTAATGAATAAAATAACATTTAATGATTGTGATTTGATTAATTTTAATAAAAAAAAAAATTTGAATAAATTATTAAGATAACAAATTTTGCAATCAATTTAGTTTACAGATATTATTCATATGTAATTAACAGTAATGATCAAAAGTATAAGTGATAAAAGGAAAAAATTGAGAGTAAAAAATTGATTGAAATTTGATGACAATTAAAAATAGTTATTTTTAATTTTTGAGGAATAATTAATGATAAATGATTAAAATTTAATGATAGCTATTGAAAATAAAAACAAACATAATACCAATTATTTCTCTAAAATTTTCTTTTTTGCTTGATAATAAAAAATTTAAATTAGCATACGCAGTTGAATAGATTTTAATTATTATTATCTGAAATGAACATTTCATTAATAATTTGAATTGAGTAATGATAAATGCTTTTTTTTTTTTAATTAATAAGTATAATCAAATTTGATAAAATTAATGAAAAAAAAAATTAATTTTATTAAGGAAATGTGTCAAATTTTTTTTGTCAACTGGTCAACTGGTCACTTTCCGGTCATTAATCTAAATTTTGTGTAGTAGTGCAATTAACAAAAATCTCACCTATGTAAAACATTAGTAATATCATTTATTCCCATGTCCAATTACATTTTGCGCCCTGCAGGCGGTCATAAGTTCAGTGGCGCCTTAACTTAGACAGACGATAAATTTGCATAGAATACCATTTGAGGATTACATTGGTAAATATTTCTGCCCACAATTGTTGAAATAAAATATGAAAACTAATTGATTTAAAAAAAAAAAAAGAGGAGAAATATTTGGCTCTGTTTTACTTATTCATTAAGCAGTTATGACAATATGATACAATAAAATTTACTAATTTTAATCAAAAGCGATTATTTTCATATAATTAATCCCTTTTCGTAAATAATTGGGAAATTTTGAAAGAGTCTTATCAGTAATTGGTTTAAAATTTTAGTGTAATATAGCATATGGCAGTTAATAGTACAAAGAAGGGAGGAAAAGATTGGATAGCAACAATAATAGTAAATTAGTTCCAAACTAATTTGTAAACAAAACTGTCAACAGAAAACAATCAATAAATGGCATATGAAGAAAGAATTTGTAGAAATTACTTTGTAGGAATTATTCAAAATTAACGCTAGTAATTGACGTAAATATTAAGCGTTTAAAAAATAATTGTTAACAAATATGTTTTATTATTAATAGTGTAAATGAATTTAAAATATAATTATAACTAGCATTCATGATAAACTAAAATAATGAATAATTATAAAAAGTATCGGAAATGATATGAATAGGTAAATAATATTAGAAATGCGGTAATGGATAAGATAGTGGCGGAATAAGAGAAAGGATTTGGAAGTTTACGTAAGGAAAGGTAATCAAATAGCGGCATCTCATTGATGATTATGTAGTTCATTACTCATTTGACACCTACTTTTCCTCATTCACACCTTTTTGGTGCCAAGTAAATTTAGGTTCTGTTGATGGATGAGGTAAGATGATGTCGTGACAATGCTTATTGTAATTTCAAAAATTTTTACCCAAATTTAAATGGATTTCATGGAAAATGAAAACTATATTAGTAAAAATGGCATGAATGATAGAAATTGAGAAACAAAAATTTGCAGGAATACATTTATGAGACTATTTTGATCTTACTTTAATTTGAAATATATTAAATTAAAGTAACATGGTTAATTGAATATTGGAAAAGAAATAATAATTAGCAATTAAAAAATTTGAAATAATAGTAATTTCAAAATGAATTAAAGAAATTAACGAGAAATTATTCCGGGAAAAGTTAGGCCAATTAACAACTTTCATTTAATGCAAATTTTGAAAATGCATGAAAATGCGAAATTAACTATTTGCTGATATTTGAATTAATGAGGGTAAGTAGATTATTCAAAAACGGAACTCACAGTGAGAATATTGGCATTGTCGCGCAATTTGTCACCGTTATCCGTCTATACATTTTTGATTACTTCAACAGATAACAGATGAAAAATTAAAAATTTATTCAAAAAAGAGAAAAAAAAAGTGAAAATTCTTTAGGAGAATTAAATCTGCATATAGTTAATGTGCTATTCAAAACCGGATAAATCAACTATATCACATTCAATTACTTTTAAATTTGATTGCTATTTGCAATCAAATTTGATAGTAATTAATATCCTCCAATCAAATTGCTACTTCCAAATTTATTTAACAAAAATTAATCGAAAAGAATTTACAATTAAAATTACAAACATTTTGACTGATTGATTTAACAAAAATAAAAAGATGTAAAAGTGGAAGAAAAAAGAATAGAAAAGATTTGAAATGAAGTAATTTTAAACATTCACCAAATTGAGAATTTGAAAATGAATTATTCCGAATTAGTCTTTACATTATTTTATTTTCATCTTTGGACAAATGATTGACTTTTCTATTTTGTTTGTATGAGGAAATGTAAACAATGTAAAAAACATAACATTAGCATGAAGTGTTCACTGAGAGTTAATATCCGTTTCATTCGCCGACATTTCAAATCTTACCGATGTTAATTAACAAAATGGAATTACCATATTACATTAATTATGTCTAAACATTAATAACACAGTAAATAAACAAATTAAGTAATTTCATACTTCTTCTGCCGTAAGTTTACTATCACAAATATGCCAAGTAATACATCTTTCAACCTAAAATATTAAAAAAAAGGAGAAAAAATCGAAAAATATTTAACCAATTACAAAAATGTTTGAAAAAGAAAAATTCTTTCTACTAGCAAATATTATTTAAAAGAAAAAAAAAATTTTTGAATGGAAAGTTGTTTAACTATTTTATTAATTGATTGATAATTATTCATTGTTAACATATCAGAATGAAAGAAATGATAGATGCATATGAATCAAATAAATATAAAAATGACAACGATAAAAAAAAAAAAGTTGAAATGAATAATTAGGCATTTTTTTTTTTTTTGTGTTTGGTAAACAACAAAGGTTGACAAGGCCCATTT